TTGCAGAACTCAAGGTGATGAATTCTACTTGGTCCTGCAGGTATTCAAACTGGGCATTCTCCGAAATTCTCTTTGAGCTGTGTAAACTAAGCATTGTCTTTGAAGTTTCCAAATCTTCTTATTGCAGGCTAAGGTGTTTTGCATTGAAATCACCGAAGAGCAGAATTTCAGAAGGGGAAAAAAAAAGAACTTAGGTCTTGGCCTACAAACTCTTTTTTAAAGAGCTTGTTCATTTTTCTTTGGCTGTACGGGAGTTTGAACTCAGGACTATGTGCTCTCCAGCAGGCCCTTTCCCGCTTGAGTCCTGTCCCAGGTCCTTTTTGCTCTGGGTATTTTTGAGACAAGTTCTTGATTTTGGCTTGAGCTACTAGGGACCACGATCTTCCCAGCTCCGCTTCCCACGGAGGCTGGGATGACAGGCACGAACCACTCACAGTGCCTCACTTTTTCTGTGCAGAGTGTCTCAAGAACTTTTTCCCCTGGGCTGGAAGCTCAATCCTCCTCATCTCTGCTTGCAGAGTAGCTAGGATGAGAGGTGTGAGGCTTCGCCGTCCAGCCGCGACACCAGTTTTAATGGACTAGGAGGTGAGCCTCCGTCTGTGGAGACTCCATACTCGTAGGCGTGTGTAAGTGAAGGACATTAGGACAAGCAGAAACACAATTCTTCTGACCTCCTTGTCTCCTGCTCTTCCTTCTTCCCCAGAGCCAGTCACTGGAACCAGAATTCTTTTCCTCAAGCCAGTCATAGAATCTAGAACCTTCTCCCCCAAAGAGAGCCATTACATCTACAAAGGCCTCTTTCTGCTTTCTCTGAGAAAGTTAGGCCTCAGGGAAGAAAGGCCACTAAGACACCGAAGCCCTGCTGCCTTTCCTCTCTGTTATGAGGTCAGTCTCACTCTCCATTCAACTCATGCCTACGAAATACACTGCTCTGGGTCTTCACATCTCTGTTTTGGAAAACTCTCCTGTGACCCTTTTAAAAAAATGTTTTGTGGCTGGTACTGGGGTTTAACTGAGGGCCTTGAACTTGCTGAACGGGTGCTTTCGCTTGAGCCATGCCTCTGCTCTGCTTTTCTCTCAGCATCCTGTCATTTGTCAAGGCCCATGGTCCTTACAATGGGTGAGAAAAAGAATTCTCCATCGTGTGGGCAGGGGCTTGTTATTTCTTGGCAACATCAATGGCTGGTCATGGGGTCCAGTACTGAGATCCCAGACAGCAGAATCCTAAAGCCATGTGGTATCACAACAAAAGTCAATTGACGTCTAAAGAAGAAGGTTTGTTTTGGCCGGAAGTTTTAGAGGCTTTAGTCCTTGATCTATGAGCCCTGTTGCTTTGGGTCTGGGTCAGGCCGCGTGTTGGGTGTAGCAGAGCAAAGACACACACCCCATTACTCTCCCCCCTCCACAACATACCCCCACCTCGTGCCCTGTTGGACCTCGTGGCCTGTGTGCGGGCGCGGGCATGCTCGCACACATGCACGTGTGCTGGTGCTGGGGCTGGAACTCAGGGCCTTGAGCCCTCTCACTCGGCTTTTTCATTCAAGGCTGGTGCTCTACCACCGGAGCTATACCTCCACTTCTGGCTTTTTGCTGGTTAGCTGGACATGAGTCTCTTGACTTTCTTGCCTGGGCTGGCCTTGAACTGTGATCCTCAGATCTCAGTGTCCTGCGTAGCTAGGATTACAAGTTTGAGTCACTGGTCCTGGGGGGGTAGACACCACAGCTTAAGTCCCCACTGCCTCCCTCCTGAAAGCACTAAGCTGGGACTAAGCGCTTCACTTGTGGGTGTCAAGGGCACCTTCAAGACACAATGGGCACACACAGAGCCAGTGTGATCTGTGTCCTGCACCATGCTTGCTCTGGGAGGCCACCTCACTCTTCCTGAGCGCTCTGGACCCGCACCAGGAGCAGGGCAGGGAAGGCCACAGGGATCATCCATGGTACGGAATCTGTGCTTGGGTTTTTGAGTGTGAGATGCGGTACCATGGAGAATCAATGGAGCCTTCTGCCGTGTGATGGATGCCAGGGCTGCGGAGCTGCGGTGATGGATGTGCGCCTGCTCCAGGCAGGTCATCCGCGCTGGCGCTGCTTCTTATTTATGACCCCCGTCCCCACTGCAGAACTGGCCGCTGCTTATGAGCTTGGCCCTGCAGAGGCCTGGACAGGGGCTTGCTCTTAAATGGGCCCCAGAAGAGCAAAGGACACTGAGACGCAGTAAAAACGTAGTGAGCACAAAGAGAAATAGTCTGTCCACTCACAGAAAGTCCATCAGCCCAGCAGGGATGGGGGGTGGGGGTGGGGAGAGGAGGGGGGTGTACTCTGGTACCTGCCTTGCTGATATGACTCTGAGCCTGAATTTTCACATACAGAACAAATATCCTATCTGCCCAGCTGGTGGGGGGCTGCTCCTTTGTGCTCCTGAGCACAGAGCTAGCAGATGAGCACAGAGCTAGCAGATGGCCTTCAGTAAGACGCTTCTTTTTCTTTTTCCCCCCAACCAATCGTGGGTCTTGAACTCTGGGCATGAGTGCTATCCCTCAGCTCAAGGCTCAAGGCTAGAGGTCTACCACTTGAGCCACAGCGCCACTTCTGGCTTTTTCTGCTTCTGTGGTGCTGAGGAATCGAACCCAGGGCCTCATGCATGCAAGGCCAGCGCTCTACCACTGAGCCACCGTCCCAGCCCCAGTAAGACACCGCTCAATGAGTCAGCATGCCCCTGCCTAGCCTGTCTCCTCCTCCTCCTTCCAGGAGAACCCATTGTGGTGTAGGGGCAAGGCTGGGGGGAAGGCCAGGACGGTGGGCTTCCCACACAGGGGCCGCCCTCCGCCCCAACAGCAGAAAGTCTGCTGTCTCCTGGGACATCAGAAGCCACAGACAGCCTTGGCGCCTAGTCCTGGCCAGATGGGGGCTGGGAATCTGCCTGGAGGAGACAGAAAGGAGGGACTCAGTTTCTGCAAGTAGCCTTAATTCAGCTCACAACCGCACTGACACAGCTATCCAAGCAGACCCGCTGTTTGCAGAGGAGGAAACTGAGGGCTGCAGGTAAGAGGCATTTTTGCCCACTGGGTTCTTCAATGAGTGGATAGCAGGCATGCTGGCAGGACTGATGGACGTCCATCAGTCCAGCCCTGTGTCCATCCTGACATACCCAAGCCCGAGACTTACCTACCTCTGTTTTCTGTCTTCTGGTGGTCAGATCACTAATTTGGATATTGGATATCTCCCTGCCCAGGGGTTGCACAAATTCTTCCCTTAAAGCCCTATTACTGGGCTGGGAAGATAGCTTAGTGGTAGAGTGCTTGCCTAGCATGCATGAAGCCCTGATTTCAATTTCTCAGTACTACAGAAATGGAAAAAGCCAGAAGTGGCACTGTGGCTCAAGTAGTAGAGCGCTAGCCTTGAGCAAAAGCAGCTCAGGGACAGTGCCCAGGGCCTGAGTTCAAGCCCCAGGACTGGCAAACACATACACACACACACACACACACACAACAACAACAACAACAACAGCCCCCCCCCATATTATAAAAACCCAGCTGCTACCACAGAACCAAAGAAAAGGTACTGATCTGACAATAGCTGTAATGACCTCACTCCTTTCTAGATCTGCAATTTATCACTCTCTCTCTCTCCCTCCCCTCCAGGTCACTTTTCCAGTCAGGACATCGAGTTTGTCTCAGTGTCTTCCTCCCCTCTCTGTTTGGCTCCACAGCCCACAGAATAAAGTCCATGTTCCCTCCCAACATAGCTCCGTGGGTGGCACCTGGGCTTTGGAGTCAAACAAGCCTAGGTCAGTGTCCTGACTTAGTCACAAGCCTGGCCTTGGCCACGTGGTCCCCGGAGTCTGTTTGCTCAACTGAAATCTCCAGACTTGATGTGAAGATGAGAGTCACCCGGTCACAGGCATCCAGAAAAGCAGTAGTTCCAACGCCAGGTCCAGCAGCGGATAGATGGGTGGATTGTGGAAGAGGAAGTGAGCTAGTTATGAGAGGACACGTACTTTCCCATTCCGTCCTGCGCTTCGTACACCTAGGATGGCCGAGGAAGGCTCGGGGTAGTGAGGAAAGGAAGTTAGTGCAGTGAAGGCCATCTCGCAGTTTGGCAAGACAAAAACAGTGGTGGAGTTGTGTGGTTGTGATGGTTATACCCAGATGTGAATGTGCGTAATGCTACTGAACTGCACACTTAAAGGTGGTGAAGATGCTGTTGGGGCTTGGGTAAGATTTGTCCCCCAAACATTTCCATGCTTGATGTTTGGTTACCAACATCCTGGCATCAAAATGCACCATGATGGGGGGGCCTGGTGAGAAGTGGTGGGGTCCGGGACCCCATGTGTGACTAGACTAGATTCATGCTGGCCTGCGGAGCGCCTGCGGTCTCATGGGAAGGAACCCTCTCCTATGAGAGTGGGTAGCTCTAACAGAGCGAGCCTGCTCCCTTCTTGGCTGTCTCTTGCCCTGTGACTTCTTTCTCTCTGCCTTCTTACAAATTCTTTTCGTGTTAAAGATGTTCAGCATTCCTTTGTGTGATATTATTATTATTATTTTTTTTTTGTCAGTCATGGGTCTTGAACTCTGGGCCTGGGCGCTGTCCCTCAGCTCTTCAGCTCAAGGCTAGCGCTCTACCATTTGAGCTACAGCACCACTTCCGGTTTTCTGGTGGTTAATTGGAGATAAGAGTCTCATAGACTTTCATTGCCTGGGCTGGCTTTGAACCTCGATCCTCAGATCTCAGCCTCCTGAATAGCTAGGATGACAGGCGTGCGCCACCGGTGCCTGGCTTGTGTAATGTTCTTGTGGCATATATTTTCCACCCTTTATTCTGGAATTGCATGTACTTGAACATGAGCGTTCTGGCAAATAGCATAGATGTGAGGATGCCTTCTAATCTCAGGGTCATTGTTTTGGGGTTGTTTACAAACCATCAGACACAACAATGTATCTATTGCAATTTAAAACACAACCATATCTTTAATCACAACAAACATTACATTATAACTTTTCCAAAACATGGGTACTAGCTCACAGAAACAGCGCCTACTGGCTACTACAAATAGGGTGGGTAAATTGTAAAACAAGAAAAATGTAATATAAAACTCATAGCCATGCACTTATTACAAACAAGTACTTTGTGAAATGCTAGGCATATCTATGTAAACAGTATGCATCTCTGCACAGATGGAAACCACGTAGGTAAGTCTGACTCCTGGTAAACCTGAGGGTGCCTGCGGTCGGCCTCTGCTTTCTTCTGTGCGTTGACCGTAGTTGCTCTGAAAGAACAAATAAAGGAGAGAAGAGTTCCCCTGCAGGACCTGAGCAAGTGAACCGATGCCAGGGTGCAAACAAGACCACAGGAGAACTGTCATTACAACGTACAATGCAGGCACAAACGTGTTGAGCCCACAGATGCAAAAGAGTTCAATCTAATTAGAGAAAATAACGGAAAACAAAAGGCAAGAAACCTCTTCAATGACAAATCTGTAATGTCAGTTGAAACTGGTGCAGGCCTATGGTGTAAGTCACAGTATTGAAAGCTATTCTGCCAGGTTGTTTGTGTTCTGTCCATGTGTAGTATCTTTCTGTATTAGTTAGTGACACACTCACTGTGAACATGCCGGCGCCTCTTCCAGGCTACTCTCTGGTTTCACTTTCACTCCCAATTTGCCTATGAATTTAAAAATAAAAATACTGAGATTCCTTGTGTCATCTCTTGGCATTCAAGCTGTTCCGATTTTCTACCTGTGTGCTGGCTGCGTGTGGCCACCGTTTGGGAATGCCCTAGCATGGGGCACACCTCCCGCCTGGGAAGCAAAGCTGCTGTGAGCTGGGCCCCTCCCCTAGGAGGACAGGTCATGTGACATGGTCACCCCAAGGCGGACTCCGATGGTGTTACACTAGTATTAAATAACTTTTAATTTTTCCCCCCATTTATATCTGTCCCTGTTTATTTCCATTAAATTTGTTGGTTCTCTCTCCCGCACCCCTGGACCACAGTTATTTGATATAAATTTTTCCACAATGAGGTTATCCACTATAAGAAAATTATTTCAACATATTTCAGGATTAATTGAATTAAAACAATTTTGGGGGCTTCGTATTATTTCTGCAATTCCATGCTAACGTTTCCACATATTTCCACCAAATGTGTTCTATCTACATTGTTTGACTAATTTAATTAAGTGTTGTAATAAAATTCAGCCTATATCAAGTAAATTGAAAGGCATAGGTATGAAATTCAAATGCAGATATAGCTATTTTTCTGAAATGAAGTAAACCAATTTTAGTATTTGCTTTTATTATTATAGCACACTTTCAGATACCTCTTTTTAATGAAAAAGCTTTTCTAGTTCTTTTACTGTAGATTAGTATCTTTAGTGTTATGTTAAATATTCATTTTTAATCTTTTCTACTTCTGAATAACTGTTCCTCAATTTATGTTAAAGAAAGGCTAAAAATGCAAAAAGGCATTTATACTACTTTACTATAATAGTCATTTATCAAAGTAGTATGTAAAAATTACCTCAAATATATAAATGCTAAAAAGTAAATGTTTGATACATTTTTAATAATTAAAATCAGATAATGAAAGTAAACTTTTTCTTTTCTTTTTTTTTTGGGGGGGGTTCCAGTCATGGGGCCTGAACTCTGGGCCTAGGTGCTGT